CCGGAACCAGTGGCTTGTGAAACGGAAGACGACTTTGAGGATGCTTCAATGGCTGGTACTGGAGAGCAGGACTCACGTACTGTATCACAGTTTCAAGACAACAACATGATTCAACAACAAGAGTTGATTCATGACGTAGAATCGATTCTGGATATTGACTCCACTCTCGAGGGTGAATCGCATGAGACCATTGAATCACATTCAGAGATTAATTGTGTTCCAAAATCTCAGGTACCAAACTCTATCCTGGAACATAGCCATAGATTTTGCAGTAGATCTTTGGACGTTTGTGAGGAAATTCCATACACATATGCAATTATGGGAGCCAATCAAGTTCAGTTTCAATCTGGTTTTGAATGGGTAAATGGCAAGGAAAGTGCACACCTTGTGTTCGACAAAATGCTTCTTCGAAAATACAGATTACAACAAAGAAGGAAACCGAGTTTGTCTCCTAAGTCATGGATGTTCAAGTACAAAGAAATGAAACTGTTGCGACTTCTACCACAGAATGAACATTATAATCTCATGGGAGAAATGCTCATAAAGCAATTTCTTGAGATGAGTCAAGTGTGTTCTGGTTTTGATCAAATGCTCATGGGAAGAAGAAGAGGGAAGCAACAAAACCTGCGGAGGAAACTTTCGAAGTCATGGAGATTCAAGTTCAAAAAGCCAGAGCAATGCGCATTAACAAATGAAAAGCTATTATTTGAAACCGAAACATCTGCAGTGGCTGCCATTCCACATGAGGAATCACAACTCCAACCCAAACACAACTGGAAATATGAGCTACTTGAACCAGTTTTAAGTTTGGACAGTACAGTGATCATCTTTTGTGATGAAATTGGTAAGGATTGCGTAAACAGGGAATGTTTTTCTTCAATGGTTCATGATTCTTTCGCGTGTGAAAAGCAAAGAGACATGGAAGAAAAGAAACAATTTCAAGTCGCTAAGATAGAGAAAGTCAGATTTGGGAGGAAAATGAAGAATGGGTGCGGACTGAATGTGGTTGGTGTACTACATTGGTTTGATCGAACCATTTGGCTTCCCGATTCTTGGTGGAGTAAGATTTACAAAGACTCGTGTTTTAAGTACAAACCTGGAATGCAGAGAAAATGGAGTCTTTGATAGAGATGGAGAAATTGGGCAGATCCAAGGTGTGTCATCAAAGATAGATTTGTGAGTTGGATGTCATCACAGCTTGGTGAT